CCCCATGGTGTGACAGATTCGGGTCACCTCCACATCCCCGCGCGCGTGCCGCAGTTGTTCCAGAGGACCCTCGCCGCGCGCGTCATGTACCGCCGCAGCCCAAGCCACCAAATAAGGACCGCTGACGAGTCGGCAGGGTACCCACCTTGGCCTCGATACCAACCGCGCTCCAGTGCAGCGCTGGCGCCGACCGAGCAGCCGCTTCTTACAACGACTGTGCTCGTAAGCGGCAGAACGACCACGACAACACCTGCCGACACCACCGCTCTTACCAGCGCAAACTCAGGGGGCCAACTGATGAAACCTGCGCGGGAATAAAACCAACCACACCATGCTGCGCCAAATCCTTGAAGCACAAGAGAGGGCACCAGCCGTGACCCAGCAGGGTCCACGGCCGCGGCAGAGGCCCCCCCGGAACAGCGGCACTGCCGCCGCGCCCTCTCGCCCGCCGTGATGCGCCGAACTGGGACGTCCCGATCGCGCCGCCGCTCCACAGGATCCCGGCTACGGGACCTCGGGAGCCTCCGCAGCGCCCGCCGAGACCACGCCAGGGCCCACACACCGGGCGGAGATCCTCGGGACTCTGTGGCAATCTGCCCACCCGTTGCCTCAGACGGGGGAGCCCGCCACCAGAGAACCCCGGACCCCACCGCTGCAGCCACTGCCCAACCCTGCGGGGACACCCACACCGGTAGAGCTCAGCGCTCACCCAGGCGAGGCCACAGGGACACCCGCGGCACGGCAGCGCGCTGGGCCCACCCAGATCGAAGCGCTGTCCGCCCCCACAGGCCCAGCTCGGGTACCCGTTCCTCCGTGCATCCAGGAAGGCACCGAGGTAACAATCACCAACCAAGTAAGAACCGCATGCACGGCCAACACGGCATCGTCATCTGTATGTGTATCTGTATATGTTGCCAGAGGTCCGCCCCCCCTCCCACGTCTTACATTCCGATAGAGGGTAAAAGCCAATGGGAGAAGGGGGCATCATACCCAAGCCACATGTTACCTGGTCGGATGGCCTGGGGTGCCCCTACGGTACCGTGCAGGCGCAAAGCATGGGACCTGCCTTCAACGCCCATGTCTGGCCGCACAGGGGTACTCCGTCACCTCCCTACTACACTTTTTTCTCACATCCATGCTGCCGACCTTCCGGCGAATCTTCCCCCCTGCTTGCAACATGCAAACCAATTCCTACTGCTCGAACCTCCGCGCTTGGATTCGGACTCGCTCAGCCGTCAATTTGAATAGTACATGCTTGCCGCGCACCTCAAGATATGCAATTACAAACATAAACCGAATATTGCCAACCTCTGAGCTGCCCCCTTCGAGTTGGACTCCGCCCTGTGTTGTGCGTTGTGAGAATGAGGTGCGAACACTTACAGGCAGACACGTTCAGGGAATCGTGGATAGAGAGACCTAATTATAGCTTGGCATTCTTATGTCTGGCTTCCTCCGTGCGCCTTCCATGCCCTTACAACCCGCGCATGTGCAAGCACAAACAAGCATGAAGCCATGCATGCACGTAGAGCCCCCGAGGAAGGGGAAGGGAAATCGGAGAGGGATCGCGCGCGGGAAGGCAGGAAAAACGAACAAGAACGGCAAGACGGCGGTGTTGGTCACCGTCAATCTTGGCGAGCGCCAATATGTTGTGAAACCTCGCGAGTCGGCGACGGCCAGACTGGATCGTGCCTGGAAACCTCGCAATTCGGCGACAACCAGAATGGACCGTGCCTAATATCAACGTCGACGGGATCCCGTCAATTCTGGGTAATGGTCAACGTGTTACCTCCCTCGAGCACCGGCTGCATCATCATCTGCGAGGTCACGCTGGCCGCGGCCGCCACCGCCGCGAGGACGGGTCGCACGCCGCCGCGAGGCCGTAGGCTGGCAGCGGCGCCAGGGCGCCAGGGACGGAGGAGATCAGTGCGGATGGGGCAGGCCTGAGGATGCGAGGCGGGGATCGATATCCACATCTACCGCCTGTGGAGCCGACATTCTGGGAAACCTCCGCGGACGGGGGACATCGGTATAGTTTGGCCCCAGGATGCCCGACTAGGTCCATATCCAGAGCCATACCCTAGGCGGTGGTTATGGATGAATCCACCACGCCTCTGACGAGGACGAGAAGCGCGAAAGCATGGGCTGGCGGGCAATGCCGAGCACAAGGCAGCTGGGCAGCGGAGCCTTCCTCGGAGTCACCCTGGCCCGAACTGGCTACGGATGCGAAGTCTGAGCTGGATGCTCGAGAAGCGTCTGGGTGCGATGAGGAGGAGGAGGAGGAGGAGGAGGTGTAGGAGGAGGAGGAGGAGGAGAGGAGGAGGAGGAGGAGGGAGGAGGGGAGGAGGAGGAGGGGAGGAGGGGGGAGGAGGGGGAGGATGGAGATAGAGAGACACCGGACTACGGGGAGGCGAGATTGATCCGCGTACGGCCGCCCGCGGGAAGCGGGCGCAGCGGCGCGTCAGGGCGCGGCGCAGGGCGAGGGCCCCCCCGACGGAGAGACGTGGGGCTCAGCCCCTCGCCCGAGTGTCGCCCCGCCCGCCGCGGCGGCGGGGGGGGCGGCCAGCGGCCCGCCGCACCAGCTCCGCGAGGGGGAGCAGCGGCGGCTGCGCCGGCGGCGGCGCTGGCGGGCGCCGCGCGGCGCTGGGGTGCACCGCGGGGCTCGCCGGGGTGCACCTCGCGGGGGACTGCTCCCCGCGGGCGCCTGCGGGCTGCAAGGCTGGCGAGCCCCGCCCTGGGTGCCACGACCCTCGCGCGGCCCCGCGGTGCACCCCAGCGCCGCGCGGCGCCCGCCAGCGCCGCCACCAGCGCAGCCGCCGCTGCTCCCCCTCGCGGAGCTGGTGCGGCGGGCCGCTGGCCGCCCCCCCCGCCGCCGCGGCGGGCGGGGCGACACTCGGGCGAGGGGCTGAGCCCCACGTCTCTCCGTCGGGGGGCCCCTCGCCCTGCGCCGCGCCCTGACGCGCCGCTGCGCCCGCTTCCCGCGGGCGGCCGCACGCGAATCAATCTCGCGTCCGCGTAGCGGTGTCCTCATCTCATCTCCCCCTCCTCCCCCTCCTCCTCCTCCTCCTCCTCCTCCACCTCCTCCTCCCCCTCCTCCCCCTCCTCCTCCTCCTCCTCCTCCTCCTCCTCCTCCTCCTCCTCCTCCTCCTCCTCCTCCTCGGGGGGATGAGGATGAGGATGAAGATGAGGAGGAGAAGGAGGAGGAGGAGAAGGAGGAGGAGGAGGAGGAGGAGGAGAAGGAGGAGGAGGAGGAGAAGGAGGAGGAGGAGGAGGAGCAGGAGGACGAGGAGGAGGAGGAGGAGGAGGAGGAGGAGGAGGAGGAGGACGAGGAGGAGCCTTTCGCCCGCTGGTCGTGACTCGCGAGTCGGTCGGCGGGACCAGTCTTCGAGCGCACTCTCGCGCTCTTGGAGCGGCCCTGGTTCTATGCAGCCGCGCACGGTACCTCGTTGTCCCGGGGGTACACACGACGCTTCTTGCCCGTCCAGTCGTCTGGGCAGCCTCCGTGTCCATTGTCCTCCGCTCGTGCTCGAGCATGCTGTTGTTTCGGCTTCGAGGAGAATGAAAGGAGCTGGTGCCGCCGAGCGATGAAACACAAAAAGGGCGTGGAGTTCGAACCCAAACACTTATGGAAAAGTCTACGAAGCGAAAGTTAGAAGAAGAGGAGGAGGAGGAGGAGGAGGAGGAGCGAAAGTCGCTGTGGGCGGCGACGTCCATGACCCTACGCCCTGCGATCGCGTGCCCTGAGACAGCGACGCACATGGTCAAGTTCCCAGCCAGCCCAGCGGCAAGGCACACCGTACCGTGGGGGCAGGATTCCCCTGCGGCAGGATGGGGCGGAAGAGGAAGCGGCGATCTGGCTCTGCAGCGGACCACGCCAAAATTGTCCAGCACAACGGAGGAGGATACCGATGAAGGATCAGGCACTGCCAAGGGGGCCCCCCGCTGAGGGGTGCGCCGGCTCCTCCCCGAGGGCGCGGGCCACCCTGGGGCCCCCCGGCGACGCCCAGGGTCGCCCCAGGCCTCCTCGATCCCCCGGCCATCCCTCCTCCTCCCCCTCCTCCTCGACTCTGGATTCCTCCTCTTCGAGGGAGCGGACCCCCATTGGCCGCCCAGCACCGCCCGCGACCCCCAGCGACGCCCAAGAACGCCCCCAGGCCTCCTCGATCTCCCGGCCATCCCTCCTCCTCCTCATCCTCCTCCTCCTCCTTCTCCTCCTCCTCCTCGTCCTCCTCCTCCTCCTCCTCCTTCTCCTCCTCCTCATCCTCCTCCTCATCCTCCTCCTCTCCCTCCCTCCCTCCCTCCCTCCCTCCTCCTCCCCCTCCCTCCCTCCCTCCCTCCTCTCCCTCCCTTTCCTCCTTCTTCCTCCTCCTCTCTCCCTCCTCCTCTTTCCTCCTCCTCTCCTCCTCCTCCTCCTCCTCATCATCATCATCATCCTCCTCCTTCTTTTCCTCCTCCTCCTCCTCCTCCTCCTCCTCCTCCCCCTCCTCCTCGATTCTCGATTCCAGGGAGGAGCCGGCGACCCCTCGAGCGGTGTCGACAGCAACGGCTCCCGCCGGATACTTCCGACTCCCAGTGTGTGTGTGTGTGTGTCAACGACAACGAGAACAATGACAACAAGAGTCACAACGATCACAACGCGGGCCCTCCTCATAATCGTTATGCAGAATTCGGGCTCTCGCGTGGCACTTCCTCGCATATTGTGTTGCAGCGCGGCGCCCCCACCCCTCTCTTGGCTAGAGGCCTCCTTGATGGTGTCGAAGTAGATGAACGGGGTCGAAAAATCGCGCCGCGTCGACAATGTATCGGCGATACATCGCCGACGTCGGCGTGGAGAGCATCGGGCTCCACATCGAGCAGCATCGGTGACACATCGGCGATGCGGCGCGATCCTCCGACCCCCTCTGGGAGGCCTCCTCCTCCTTGACGGGTTGAGCCGCAGCAGGAGCACGGCGGCCGCCGCGGCCGGGGCGGGGTAGGCGGGCAGACGCGCGCGGCGAGGCCGCCTGCGCGAGCAGCCGCGCGGTGAGAAGCCCCTCCAGGTCGTGGTGGTACGGGGGCCGCAGCCTCGTCTCGGGGTGCTCCCCCGCCGTCTCCTCCTCCTCCCTTCTCCTCCCTCGTCCTCCCCTCCCTCCTCCTCCCTCCTCGTCTCTGCTCCCTCGTCCTCCTCCCTTGTCCTGCACCCCTCCTCCCTCCCTCCTCCGCCTCGTTCTCCTCCTCCCTCGTCATCTCTCCTCCTCCCTCCTACGCCTTCCTCCACCCTCCTCACGACCCTCGCTTCCCCTCCTCCACACACAGACGTGCTCGTCATTATGTTGCTCGTCTGCCCTCCTCGCCCCATTCCTGCTCGTCCTCCTGCTCTGCTCCATGTCACTACCCTGCTGTTCCTGCAAATCCACCATCGTGCCGCTGGGCACGGAGTGGGCGTGCTCCCAGGTCCTTTGCCTGATCCTCTGAGCCCCACGCCTCACTCCTGAGGATCATTCAAGGGACCCGGACCTCCAGGAAATGTTGCCGCATGACTTTTTCAAGCCCAAGAGGGCCCCGAGACGGGCCACGAAGGCCCCAGGAAGCCCCCAAGGTGATCCGAGAGGGCCCGCGTCGCCGAACGATCGTTCCAACACGGTCAAGACGGCACGGCCCAAGAGAGTTCCAAGACGCCCACAGATGCCTCCGAGAGGCCTCCCAAGTGGGACCCAAGAGGCCAAAATCATTGTTTCCTTTGGTTGTGAAGGATTTGAGCGGTCTCGCCTTTTCGGCTTCCCTACACTCCCAGACGGCCCCAGGGGCCCCCACGACCGCCCCAAGAGGCCCCCGGGAGGCCCACAAACCGAAAATCAGACCCCAAAGAGGTCCCCAAGAGGCCCCCAAGATGCCCAAACGATGCTCCAAACCCCCTGGAGGCCTCCCACGAGATCCCAACGAACATCCAAGAGGCTTCATACACACAACCCAGGCACGGGGCCTAAGATGGCCTCCAAGACGGCCCAAGAGGGTTCAAAATGGCTCCAAGTCCGCCCAAGAAGCCTCCAAGATGGCCCAAGACGGCCCAAGAGGCCCCGAAGGGGCCTCCAAGACGGCCCAAGAGGCCTCCAAGAGGTCCCCCAACCTCGCCCGCAGAGGCCGCAATCACTGTTGTTCTATAAGTTTTTGCAAGATTTTGGCATCTGCTTCGTGTCAGCCTTCCGACGGCCCGAGACGGCCCAAGAGCTCCCAAAGATCTCCCCAAGATCGCCCAAGAGGCCTCCAAGATGACCCCAGAACGGCCCAAGAGGCCCCCAAGACGGCCCCAAGACAGGCCAAGAGGCATCCGGCATCCAAGACGCTCAAGATGGCCTCCAAGACGGCCCTGGAGCACCCCAAGAGGGTCCAAAGACGGCCCAGAGAGGCCTCCAGGATGGCTTCTGACGGCGTCAGACGGGCCAGGAGCCCACCAAGACGGCCCAAGATGGCTCGAAGATGGCTCAAGAAGCCCGAGAGGACCCCAAAAAGCTTTCCAAGACGGCCCAAGAGGCTTCCAAAAAGGCCTCCAGGAAGGCCCGAAGAGGCCAACAATATTGATTGTCCTTAGGTGTTTGAAGGATTTGGGCATTTGCTTCTTTTCGGCCTTCCGACGGCCCGAGAGGCCACCAAGGCGGCCCCGAGAGGGCCCCAAGACGTCCCAAGAGGCATCCAAGACGCCCAAGATGGCCTCCAAGACGGCCCTGGAGTCTGCCCAAGATGGCCCCCAAGATGGCCCCCAAGATGGCCCCAAGACGGCCCAAGAGGGTCCCAAGTCTGCCCCAAGAGTCCTCCAGGACGGCTTCCGACGGCGCCAGACGGGCCAGGAATGCCCCACTACTGCCAGAGAGTCCCCCGAGAAGCCCCCAAAGGTTACCAAGAGGCCCAAGGCCCAAGGAAGCCCCCAAGATGCCTCCAAAAGGCTGTCAGGAAGCCCCCGGGAGGCCCGAAGAGTGCCCCCAGAGGCTCCCAAGATGCCCCTCCTCCTCCTTCTCCTCCTCCTCCTCCTCCTGATCTTTCCCGCCATCCTCCCCGGAGTGTTCCTACGGTTGGGGGAACGCATGGTCCGATAGCTTGGCAGGTCTCGTGCCACAACGCTCGGCCACATGGGCGATTACAAAAGGTAGAGGGCGGAGGTGATTCGCGGCAGGCGTCTTCGATAACATCCTCCTCCTCCTCCCCCCCTGCCTCTCCCCCCCGATGCTTCCCCTCCTCCTCTGCTCTCTCTCTCTCTCTCTCTCTCTTTCGTTATCTTCCTCTTTCTGTCTTTGTGTGTTTCTCTCTCTCTCTCTCTCTTTCTCTCTGTCTCTCTCTTCCGCCCTTTCTCTCTTCTGATATTGTCTCATCTTCTCCTCCCCTCCACCTCCTACTTCTGCCCCCCCTACCCTTGCCCGAGGCCCAACGCGACGCTGAGGCGTGCTCCAGGCAATCGAAGCGTCGCCCCCGCCGATCTGGCCGCCGCGGAGCCCCCCCTCCCCCCCCCCCGCCCCCCGCAAGAGGAGCACACGGCACCACCACGGGCCAATGACGCACGAGCGATCTGGACCCAAGATCTTGGGTCAGGTCGGGCGTGTCCCCCATACAGGGGGATTTTCGACGAAAAACAAAACAGACTCAACAAAAACTCCCAAATCTTCTTTTAAAATACTCAAAAATAGTCCTCAGACTACCTGTTGACTATTCTCGAGTAATCCTCCTGGCGAGGGACAGGCCCGATTTCAAGCCTGGGGCACGGGCGAGCCAGGCCGGCCTGTGGGCACTGCCGGCGGCAGAGCCGGCTGGGTGCGCCCAGCCGCGAGGGCGAGCGCCTCCACCGCGTGGGCTCTTCGCGGCCCCGGCGGCGAGAGGTCTCGCTCCACTGGAGGTGGGGGCGATCGAGCTCCCTCAACCGCTGGAAGGCAAGAGCGCACACAGTCGTGAGCTTTTTCTTTTTGCTCGGCAGGAGCGCACACAGTTTTGGGCGTTTGTTCAATTAAAAAAAACCGGCGTGTCGACGTTGGGCGGAGGGGGGAGGGGGTCTGGCTCCGGACCTCTGCTTAGCGC